TCCCTCATCTGTTTCAATGCAGTATACATAATTTATCCAATTTTTCTCAGTCTCACCCCAACCCTGATGTCAGTCCCGTTTTACAACAGTGGCACTATGCAGCATTTGTCCTTTTGTGACTGAGATCTTTCACTCAGCATAATGTCCTCCAGGGTCACCCATTTTTAATAATACTGCATGAGTTCCTTGTTTTTCAATGCAAGGGCTATGTGTCTTAAAGGTAGTGTTAGGAGATATTACAGTGGGTTCCATTGTGCTTTCTGTTTTGGCTCCAGCCCCATGCGACAGGCTGAGTCCAGAGACTGCTGGAGCCAGGCCCGCCTCTCATTATTTCCTTCTTCCTCCTCAGGGTCTCCAGTACATGGAACTCATCCCTAAGGAGAAGCAGCCAGTGACTGGCACTGAGGGTGCCCTTTACCGCCGGCGCCAGCTCATGCATCAACTGCCCATCTACGACCAGGACCCCTCACGCTGTCTCGGACTTTTGGAGAACGAGTTGAAATTAATGGAGGAATTTGTCAAGCAGTATAAGAGTGAGGCCCTTGGTGTGGGAGAAGTGGCCCTCCCAGGGCAAGGTGGCCTGCCCAAGGAGGAAGGGAAGCAACAAGAAAAGCCAGAGGGTGCAGAGAACACAGCCCCAACCACCAACGGCAGCGTCGGGTCCAAAGACGTGGAATATGTAAGTCTCTCCCAGGCCTCTATGTCTGCCTGAAACAGTTTAAGTGCAAACTACACAGCCCAGTCTTCACTCTGTGACTTTGTTCCTGCAGTCACACACTGACAGGTTTGTGCAATCATAGGTATTGTGGCCCTCTTCCTCTGGACCAGGGAGTGCTGAGGGTGTATCTGTAGATAGTTGCACTCTCAACCCCCTGCACTTCTCAGGTGGTTTAAATCAAGCGGTAATGCCAAGGAAGGAAGGTGAGCAGTTTCCTCCTGTGTGATTTACAGCCTCTGAGGACCCAGTAGAAGGGCAGTTATGAATTGACTCCAGTTCAGTGGCAATGAAAAATGATATAAGCACACTGACCTGCAAGAGGTTCACATCCCAGTGGAGGCTGTGGCCCATCGGTCACCGCTCAGAAAAGTAGCAACTAACGTTGTTTAGGGAGTCAGAGTTGGCTTCCAGGGAGAGGTGAGGCACAAGCCTATCCTGAAGAATGACTACCAGGCCTTGGGACTTATTAAGAGCATGTATACCCCCTTAAAGAGATGAGCGTGTGGTGGTTTGCCGTTGTTTTGGGGTTTTGGATTTTTTTTTTTAAAGTCCGTATGTTAGAGAAAAAAAGGTACAGAGGATTGACAGAAGCCCAATGAGGTGCATGTGTGTTGTCCTAAGGGGAGCTGGGGACAGGAGTTGTTGAGGTCAGAACTGGTGAGTTGCAGGAAGAGTCACACCTCTCATTCATTTGTCAGTCAGATTAAGTTAATTAGCATGAGTTACCTGCCAAGCTAATGAAATCAAATGAGCAGAACTTTATAACCACAATGGCATAAATTTAGATCTTTATTTGAGGGGGCAAAGGCTGCTATGGCAGGCTTTTAATCATAAAACTTACTTTATTTGAGCTGTATGTTCAAGAGATACCTCTGTGAAAGATAGGCTGTTGGAAATAGGGCCACTTAAGAAAGTTGTTTTGAGAAAGCACAAGAAAAGCCAGCATTTGGGAGATGAAAGCTTTACAGACTGAGTTGTCTTAAACCACAACAAATATGAAAGAACTGGACTCTTTTGCTGTTGAGTTGGCTCATGCTCATGGTGATGAGCTCATATGTTACAAAATAGTAAAAGGTTTTTCAATGGTTGTAATCTTTCCCATAAGAGATCACTAGACCTTTCTTCTTACATGTCACTGGGTGGGTTTGAACCGCCAATCTTAAGTTACTACTTAAACTGTACCATAACAAGCAAAAGGAATTAATTACTTGAGTCTCGTCTAACATGGGGAAGCTATGTCATTACACGCCAAAGTTCCTAGCCTTTTATACTGAGAACTTAAAGACAGAAGAACAAAAGTAATTTTCTCTGCCTGTAAATTGGTAATGACATTAAAAAGAGCCATTTCTCATAAAGCATATCTGTCCTCAAGATTAAGGGGGGAAAGTATGTACAATTACTATATTTTAGGTTTTTTAAAACTAGTCTTTTCTTTTGACCCTGCCTTATATACACCAAGTAACTGTCATTAAAGCATGAATCTGGGATAATTACAAGTTGAAAACAGGCCTTTTAAAGTCATTATGCCCTTTCACAAAGGTCCTATTTTCATGGCCTTTCCCAAGGAAATAATCAACCGAGTTAGCAATTCAGTATATAAGCACTGTACCACCATCACCCCTTACTATTCGTAAAATAATCTTGATTATTCAAACTTACTTGCCATTCCAGGAGAGAAGGGTGAGGCATTCTACTTGCATTTGATTTTTTTCTTTTTTTAAATTAATATGCATGAAATTATTTATATGCCTTGTGTTTTATTCATGAACATAATGGCTTTTTGTATGTTTCGCACTTTCCTTCATTGGCATTATGTTTCATACAGTCATTCCCTCACATTGTAAAATTAATTGCTATAAAGTTAATCACCATTGGACTATGCCCATCATTACCCTGTCTTTTTAGATCCCTGTCGGATTAGATCCCTGTCGGATCATTCCCATTTCCTTTACTCCCTCCCTCCACCCACCAAATTGTGTGATCCTGTTATTTCCCCTCAACCCATCCTCACCTATCTGCTCCCACTGCTTTCCCCCTTTGGCCCCCATATACATTTTGCTAGTTATCCTTCTATTTTTATAATAATGGTCTTATGCAGCATTTGTCCTTATGAGAGTAAGTTAGTTCACTCAACATAATGCTCTGCAGTCTCTGCCAACTCATGTAGTTTTGGTGTTTGTTTTTTTGTTTTTAAAATCATGCTTCTGAGCGCTGGGTAGTATTCCATAGTGTGAATGTACAATTTCTCAATCTATTTAGTTGTGCTTGGACATTTGGGCTGTTTCCATGTTCTTGGGATTGGAATAATGATGATGAACTTTGGTATACAAATCTCCATTTGTGTCTCAGTTCTGTTTCCTTGGGGTATATTCCTCGCAGTGGAATCGCTGAGTCATACAGAATTTTTATGTTCAGCTTTTCGAGGAAACTCTGAACTGTCTTCCAGAGTGGTTGTATCTTTTTACAATCCCACCAAGAGTGTATGAGAGTTCCTATCTCTCCACATCCTCTCCAGCATTTACTGCTTGCTGTCCTGTTAAACTTTGCCACTGCTACTGGAGTGAGATAGTATCTTGTTGCAGTTTTGATTTGCATCTCTCTTATTTGCACTTAGATTTGAAACAGTTCTACTCTGTCATTTAGGGTCACTGTGAATCAGAATTAAGGAAGTGCTGATTAGAATTAGATTCTACTACAATTTGGGAGTCCCAGATAGATATTTATGTGGAACTATGGTAAAGGCAGCCTGAGATCCTGGGTCTTTGCCTACTATTAATTTAAAAATACTTCTAACATTTTGGAAGCATTTTAACAATAACCAGAATAAAACCTAATGCAATTGAATGTATAATGATTCGTATTTACTCTATAGAACAGAGTAGAACTGCTCCACAGGCTTTCTAAGGCTTTACGGTTTGACCATGGACCACCTGCAGTACAGCTTTACCCCTGTAAGTAGCCATGGAAGTGGGCAGGCGTGCCTGCCGTGCTGTGTGTTCTGTGTAACCCTAGTTTCTAGTGAAAGGGCAGTGTAGATAGAACAGGTAGAAAAGCTGATATTGCTCCCCTTAGGAAGGCCAGGGACCTTGGTTTGGAGTGGTTAGGGCATTGCACTTGAGAATCTAGAAGTATGGAAAACGTTTAGGACTCAGTTTGAAATCCCAAATCCTAGCAAATACTTGTGAAGAATGCAAAAAGAGAGAATGATGACAGAAATCACGCTGGAGCAGTGTTGACAGTATGTGTCTGTTTGTTAGTTTTTATTAGGGGCTGTTGAGTCAAATATGACTCATAACAATCCTAGAACAACAGATCTGAATCCTGTCCTATCCTGTGCCATCCTCACACTTCCTGACACATTAGAGCCCATTATTACACCATGTCAATCCGCCTGGTTGAGGGTCGTCCTCTCCTTTATTGAACCTGCACCCTTCCAAGAACCATGTACCTCTCAAAGGAATAGTGCTTCCTAGAAACATGCTTGAAGTATGTGAGACAAAGCCTCATCATATTTGCCTCCAAAGAGAACTCTGGCTGCACCCTCTCCAAGCTATATCGATTAGTTCTCTTGACTGTCCATGGAATGTTCACTGCTCTTCTCCAATACCACAGCTCAAAGGCGACAAATTCTTCTTCTATCATGCTTATTTATTGTCCAGGTCTCAGAAGCACAGCAAGTTTGTTTGGTTTTGGTTTGTTTTTTTTTTAGGATGCTAAATAGTTTGACCTTTCCCAAGAAAGTTGTGACAGTTTAGCATCCTAAAAAACAATACATTGAAAAAAAAATTTAAAAAAAAAAACAACAAAAAAAAACAATACATTGTCCTTAAGTCAGTTCTAATTCAGGTCAGTATATGTTCGAGGATTTAATATTGTGTGGTCAATTATTGTAAAGAATGAGTGCCTTCCTGGTGTGATTAGTCATCTTATAGGCCTGACTATTGTTTGTTTAAAGGTTGAACCATTGGAGTGAGTCTTGTTCCAAGTTTGAAGGATGACTGAGCACAATAGTCCTAGGGGTTTCACCAGTCTCTAAAAGAACAGTAAATGTGACCATTCTTTGTAGTTTTTCATTTTGTTCCATGTTCTTCTCCCACTGTATCTAGAACTTTCTACTCTGATCTCTGCTAGATTGTTGGCAGTGGTAACTGGGTGACATCTAGTTAGTTCCTCTGATCTCAGGGTTGTGGATGTGGAGTTTTGAAAAGTGGTCTATTGGACCTTTGGACTCATTGTTTCTATGCACTTTTGTTTTCCCTCCTTCTTCTTTGTTCCAGACACAGAATGTCCAGTAGTTGCACCTTACACAGCAGCCCAAAAACTTTACGACTCTACTCACAATGTCTTTATCTTACTCCTTGAGAAAGTAAGTTGGCCCTGAAGTCCCCTCAAAACTATAATTCTGAAGTTCTTGGACCAGCAACTGACCTCAAAATATTTGGTTCTGATTAAGTTTATACAACTTTGTGCCTAGTTGGCACTACTATATACACAGATAAGTTTACAGAATATACTGATATAGATGTAAAAAATGTCATCTCCAAAACCTGTGTGTAGTTATGAATATAGTCCTTTCCACCTGTCTGTATAACTTTTTTTAAAAAAGAGGAATTTATACTGGTTTACATACAAAGTTCATAAAATTCGTATACATTGTTTTTCAAACTTTTACCCATCCCTCCCTCCACCAATCCAATTGTACATTACTTTTTTTTTAATAGGTATAAATCATACTTGGAAGAGTTGAGGGACAGCATAGTTGAAAGACCCCAGATGAGGTGAATTAATATAGTAACTAGGTCAGTGGGGGTAGGTGTATCAGAGTCAGTGAGACTGGCTCAGGATAGAGCAGGCTTCAGAGCAGTTATATATAAGGTCACTATGAGACGCAGGTGACTCGATGGCACATAACAACAATATAGATCTCTTCTGTTCAAATGGCCAGGTAACTATCAGGTATT